GATGCTGCACATGATTGGACCATGTCTGCAGCATTCGCAAGGATCGCTGATAAGCTTGAGCTTCTCTGGAGGAAGACAACAGGAGAAGGAGGCAACGAGGTGCAAAATCAAGCCGTCGACCAGGGTCGAGCATGGCTGCAGACCACGAGTAAGTTTCTCTCTGAAGTGACTGACATCATGCTCACAACTCTTTCAAGCACATCGCTGGCTTCTGATCTTTGACAATGTTGAGGAGTACCTTGATCTAACTCGATATCTGCCGAAGGAAAGCCGCTGCAATGGTGTTGTCATCATCACTACTCGAAACGCAGCAATACCGACTTGGCTAGAGCCGGCTCGTTTGATCAACGTCAAAAGTTTTGACAACAAAGACGCTGCACACTGCATATTCAGGTATCTTGGCAGGGATCCTCAAACCCGAGAAGAGTTTGAGCTTGCCTGTCGACTCACGAAACAGCTGGACTGTATGCCTATTGCAATGGCTACCGTGGGAGGGTACATCAAGCAGTCAAGGATATCCTTAGCGGAGTTCATGCACGACCTTGAAGCGCAAAAGGACACCTTGCAACGGGAGACTAATGATGGTGAAGGACAGGCATCACCGTCGACCTCCCTTCAGACAGTGTTCGACAAGGCTTTCGGTAATCTTAGGCCTGTAGAGCAAGAACTGTTGAACATCCTGGCCTTCTTGGACCCCAACTCAGTGCCGGTGGAGATATTTACCGTAGCCGTGCAGAACAACGAGTTCGTGCACATCGGATCACAAGAACAGCTACAGAAAACATACCTCCGACTGCGAGATCGACAACTGGTCCAGTATGACACCACAAGCAGCGAGCACTTCATCTCCGTTCATCGTGTAGTACAGTGGAACGTGCTGAGTAGTCTCAGCAAGGATGCCAAAGCTCGCAAGGACTGCTTTGAACAAGCTTTCCGAATAGTGCAGTCAATGCTGCCGAAGCCAAACCTCCTGCAGACACCTGAAGCGGATGGTTGGCCGGCGTATGCTCAGCATGGACGCCAAATCCTTGAGCTTCGTACGCACTCGAGCTGGCCAGAACCAGCTATCAAGGCACCGCTCTCGTTCGCACGAATCCTGTCTGATATGGGCACATACATGTGGTTCTCCGGCAAGTTCAAGGAAGGTAAAGATGCCTTGAGAACTGCTGAACTCATCGCTATCGACCACAAAGTCGAGATCGGCACTCTACTTCGCACCAACATCTACGCAATGCTCGGGATCATCACCTCATATGAAGGTGTCAGCCAGCGGAAGATAAGCATGCAATTTCGTGAGAATGCGTACCAATGGAGAAAGCGTAACATGGACACAAAGACGAGAGGCAAATGGTCCCGAGAAGAAGACATCATGTACTGGCAGATGCACTCCGACATGGCCTTTGGCTACATCCAGTCCGAAAACTTCGACAAGACTGCAGTGTACATGGAAGAGTGTTTACAGCAGTATCGCAAGTGGGAAAGTGACGAGACAAAGATACCCTTTGAGTACGCCAAGTACTATTGGCTAACCTCTTTCTGCCAGCTCGCCAAGGGACATACGGAGCGAGCTGTCAAACACATCACAGCTTGTCTCAACCTGATGGAAGTGGCAGCTGGGGATGAACACCCCATGGGACAATTCATGAAGTTCTGTCATGCTAACATCCTGTGGCATACCCAGAAACCACTGAATCGGCAAAAGGCGCTCAACATCAACAAGCTCGTCCTTGAGAATCGGCTCAGATCAGTAGGCGAGTTCAGCCAATTCACTCTGGAGAGCTACTCGACATGCGGAAAGCTATGCTGTGAGGCTGGTGAAATTGAGCAAGCAAAGCAGTATCTGGAGGCATGCTTGGACAGCCGCAAACGTGCCACCTGGAACGAAGAGGGCATCACCAGAGCTCGCTTTCGTTATGTGAAAGTACTGAGAGCCTTGGCCAGCGAAGCACAAGCTGCGGACGATCTTGTGCTCGCAGAGAGCTTATCAGCTGAAGCCGACAGCATCCTTGCTGATGTCCGCGAGATTATCAAACGCTATCGCAGAGACCATGCTCAATACATGCCTGAAAGTCTGGACGAGGAAGAGAATCTTGATCAAATGGTCTCATTCTGGGCGGGTCGGTTCACTGGAAAGCTAGCACGTCGCAAAACAGGCATGACAACACTCTATGAGGAGGACGATGATGCTGCTGATGTTACCGCTGCTGCTCACGGGCACTAATGAATCTCAAGGGGTCAATTTCGCACCACCGACGCATGAATTCGACTGTGTATCCTCACCAGAGCTATGGCTACATGACCAAGCATCTCACGCTGCACATCGCAGCGCAGTATTCAAGGGATTGTGTTCACCAACTCCCAATGAGCCAAAGCCGACACGGTCTCAGAACCGTGAAGTCTGCCTTTCCACGCCTATGCTTTGCCTCTAGCGCACATCGAAGGTCATTTGGGACACCAAGCTGTGATAATACAGTAGCAGCCGGGGCTTACGGCCAGCTACTGAACGCAGTCATCGGCTCAGCCTATATGCATGGTATGGAAAGTCCTCCAAGGACAAAACCAATCTGATCCATCCGTTGCTTGTCTTAGTTATCAACTCTGCCAAATTCTCATTGCTCATATGCTTGACGGAATCGCTGAGACCGAAAACACCTTGGAAGTGAGTCCGAACGTCGTCGATTGCACCCTCCAGTAGCTCATGTAACAAGCCTGGATGAGGACACCACACGACAGCCATACCTGCTCGTCGTCCTGCATCCACGCCTTGTATCGAGTCCTCAAATACGAGACACTGAGCTGCAGTCAATGGCTCGGAGATCTTCTCGTCCAAGCATCGCAGGGCACGGAGATATATGTCAGGCGCCGGCTTATGCTTTGCAACTCTTGCATCGTCTCCGAGCACTCTGCAATCCTCTGGGAAGCATGCGAACAGACTGGTCCATGTGACAGTCTTGATGGCAAACTTCTGTCGTGTAGAGCTGGTCGCTAATGCCAATGCCACGTTGTTCTCTGATAGCTCTTTCAACAACTCCTGCACGCCTGGGAGTGGTTCTGCTGTTGGGAAGACTTCGTCATGTAGTCCTTTGAGCTGCTCAACGTACTCATTCTCTGTGATTGGCAGCTGAGCCCAGTTGAGAAGGATGACATTGCTGTCACGTGCGGATCGTCCTTGTATACGTGCTTTGATGGACCACGGGAGTTCGGGCTTGTCGTATCGTGACAGGATTGTGTTGATGCATTGGGTGATGAGGTCTTCTGTGTTGAGCAGGAGGCCATCCATGTCGAAGATGCATGCACGCGTTGGAGGAGGCTGCGACAAAGCCATTTCATGCAGACGTGTCGTTTATACTGCTCTATAATGCTACAGATCAGTGTAGATGAAGGCCTAGAGCTCAGTAAGTCACTACGATCTACGAGCTTCTCCCTTGTGTTTGCGGCGCATGAAGGATCAGGTGGCCTTGCATCAAGCCAAATTTACTCGTCGGGAAGCAATATCGCTCATTAGCATTCTGACTCCAACGGAATCCGCTTGAAGAGTGGCGTACGATTCTCATCGAGCCTTGCTGTGCATCAGATGGCCGTGGTGCAGCAGACGAAGCAGAGCTGCCTGATGAATTTGGTGTTGCCTCAAGAATTCAACACGTTGGCCAAGCAACCACTCTTGATATCACTCTACATGCTTCTCTTCGCTCATCCCAGATCACGACCATTGCGTGTTGCTCATTCCTTGCAACCGTCATGCGCAGATGCTTGCACAACATATCGAAGGACTCACACTGTGGGTGTTCGCCATGCTCCACCCTTGTTGCGTACGAACTGTCTGAGGGATCAGATGTGGATGCGACCATAATCACAAATTATTCATCCTGCACCAGTGCTGCCGGCTGAGTGTCCACCAGAAGCACATCGATCTCCTGTTCGTTCGAAAAACCCTCTCTTAGGGCTTCAGTTGCTGCTGAGTTCCAGAAGAGTACTTTCTTGCCAATCTCTGGACGTATCGCCGCCCATAGTCTGCGGCATATGACCTTCCAAGACACCAGCGTAGGTGCATGTGCAAGCAGCTCTCCATTCGAACTTCTGTGTTTGCACCTAGTCATGATAGACGGTCGTGCCAATGACTGTCACGAAGCACAAACGTTGTACGCACTGTGCAGCAGGCTTTCCGAAAACAAAGTGCAGATCATTCGACGTATTATTGAGGCCACGCAGTACTGTAACGACAGTACGTGCATATCGACGAGTGGGAGCGAGATTCCATTTGGCGGCAAATGTCTTTGCCATGCCACGAGTGGTACACGGCCCATACTGAAGTGGTCGTTGAACGATCGGGGCGCTGCAAAACTCACACGCGGTCTCTACTATCAGTCTGTATTCTACAAATCCTCAACTCAGACTGCAGCATATCACCGAAGCTGCGTGCTAAGAAGCTTCATTTTACGAGGTATCCCTGGCGCGGCTATACCAGGGTGCTGATCATCTCGACAGCGATTCATCACAGAGCTTGCTGAATCATCCTGACCGACTGGAGGATAACTTACACATCTTCCATCTCATCGGTACCAGCTCGATGTAAGCGATCACTCCTCTCGTCTCACGATCCTTTACACTCTTTTGTCACTACATGTCTCGATCCCCGATCCTCTCACCACTGGACATCCTGTTGCTTCCACCGGCCTACCGTCAAGATGAAGGACAGCCAGTCCATGAGCAGCTTATCGTTGCAAGGCCTCGCCGTTGCTGCAGGCTGCGACTCACCCAAGTCCCTCTGATCTTTGCACTCGGCTCCCTGTCCGCCTTGGCCACTTTCGAACCCCCTGAGCAACCTGACCACCCTGATCCTGGTTAGGCAGGGTTGCTGGGCTGGAATGGCCCCACGCCTGCTGGAAATTGCTGCCGGTCATCCAAACATGCTCCGCTGGTCTCCGAACAAGCTGCAAACGATCATATACACACACCAATCACTTCCCTTCATCGTACCATCACTCGAAATACTGAGTTCTTCCCCGATGGTCTAGTGGTCATGATTTCCGCTTGTCATTCCTGGATAACGAGCGCGGGAGACCGGGGTTCGATTCCCCGTCGAGGAGCATCATCTTTGCATCTTTTGCACTTGGTTCCATGTGTTTTGACCATTTTTGATGGTGTGGCAGCTGGATTTGTGGAATCCTACAAAGTCTTGGCATTTTTCCAAAACTCGCCTCAAATTTCGGCTAGCGCCTCTTTACAGCTGCCGACGTTGCCCATGACTCGTGCGACATATGTTCGCATTTTTGATGCATAGCCCTTTAGGAATACAGCTCCTCATGCATGAAAGCGTACATTACACATCGCATATGTGATACCAGAGTTCCGTAGCTCGCGGACGCACTTCAGCAAGCATACTATTGCGACACATTGCAGGCGGGAATGAGTAGTTTAAGCAAGACATGAGCAAATGCTGGCACTCACACGATCAAAGACTCGACCTGTCTGGCATTCACCAGCTCCGCCGCATCTATACATTGGATTATCCGATAAGTGTCGATTGGTGTCTATATGGTCTGGACTCTGTGAGAGCTGCCGTTCGCAATGACAAAGGATTCCTCGCTACACATTTGGGTGCAACAACGCTTCTCAAGTCGCATATAGGTTTTCAATCCCTTGACACTGACAATACAGGACAGAAAGGACAAGTAGCTCGTTCGAGTTGACCCTATAGGCATTCTCAAGGCTGTCCGGCCGCTGTTTCGCAGATTGCTTCTCTTGTCCCACGCAACCGACAGTCCTCTAGCCATCATAGTCTGTAGTCCTTGCCATCAATTGGAGTCCAGCAACATATTTCCTTTCCAAGCGCGCGTGGAGGACGCACTGGGCCAACCGATATGGAGGCCTGAATTCTGCCAACTTCCTTTGCGTCGTAGCTATCGTCCAGATCAAGCTCCATCCTGTTGTGAAACCTGGCGTAACAGAAAGACGGATTTCAACATGCCTGTCGTCGTCGGTGATTGAGCATGGCAGATCAGCCGTCATGTGTTGAGCATCCCAGAGGCTCTTGGCTGCTGGTGCTCAGTGGTGTCGTAAAGACAATATAGGAAGAGTTGCTGTGCTGCATGGAGACTTGACGACAACATCTGCTCACGCCACGGTCGATCAGCAAGCGCTCACTTGTTGAACGGCTGAAGTCTGGCAGAATCATCCTTGCTCTCGGGTAGGTGTCTGTCAGGAGCTGTCGCTGAGCTTGAAAGACTCCTTGAGCTATCATCGTCCAGCCCAAGCATCATCCAAGTCGCCTTGCCTGACCTCATATGCCCAGTGGTGGCATGTTTGATGCATCACAGGCGAAACCTCAGGCGCATCCTCGTCGGCGCCATCATCGAAGACATCCCGAACACCAAGCTGTAGATACTTCTTCAGCAGCATCCTTCGCCAACGACCAGTCTCACCCACGCACTTCTTCCACCGACTGACCTGACGATCATCGTCATCACATCTTCGGCCTCGGTAGAATCGAGTGTACCATTGGAACCAGCCTCTGACGTCGTGTTCATGAGAGATCCAGCCGGCTGCCTCCCATTCTTCGATGCTCTGGCCACACGCAACTTTAAACTTGTTGATGTCTGTGTCGTACTCGAGATTGATGAGGTGAGTTTCTGCATTCAAGCCTTCGATCCATGAGGATGGTAACTCTGTCCAGTCGTTTTGTATAACGATGCCTAGCTTCCTTGAGCGCACAGGACGGTAGTATTGACCGCCAAAGCAACCTTCTCTCAGCATTTCCTCTGGTGACTTGTTGGGAGTGAAGTCTGGGTAGTCACCGAAATGGAACTTCCCATCCGCTGTTCGAACAGGCTCCTCTGCCACTGCAGTCCAGGCGGTCCAGCCAGCCTGTATCTCGTCGACATCTTTGACCGGGACCAGTGGCTCGTCCGCCTCCTTGATGATTGAGCCTAGCTGCTTGACTGAAGCAACTTTCTTCGTTGAGCGTGGCAACGGTATAGCCTTGATGCTTGGTTCATCCTGATAGTTCGGTTTTGTAGGTGCAGCAGCAATTCGTGAAGACGTCCTCAGAGGAGCACTGTCTTTGACTATCTTCCTTCGCTTTGCTGTTGGCCTGCCGTCCACATGATGTGCGTTGTTCGACCGTGCCACGAGAGGTTTGACGTCAAGCTCGGCGAGCAAGGCTTTATTCCGCGCAATGCGCTCTTGTCGGCGCGATTCGTAGTCATTCATCGTTCACGTGCGATCACGCGACACAGAATGATGTGAGATAGTGCGAGATGGTCGGCCTGAGCGATCAATGTCCAGACTGATTGACGTCAGCCAAGCCAAAAAGCACGCCAAGGACATAACGTTCACGACGCGCCATTCATGTCGACAACTACTCTTTGCCAGAAATCTGTTTACAATTGTTCTTTGTACAAAAGTCATTGGGTATCATTCGATCAATGCAGAAGCAGGCCTTGCCACCAACACCATGATCCTAGCACACAGATGTCTCCCTACGAAGACCGGCTCTCAAGAACCTCCACTCAACCGACGATATATGGCGCCTCGCTTCCAGCGTAATGGTGCAGCATACGAGCGGCTCAGGTGATAGCCTCGCCATCTCTTCGAGCTGTAAAGGAACAGTATGACCGCGGCTGCGACGACACCGAATACGATGCCCTCAGCGAGAGTCCATGCCGTAATATCGAGCAGCGTCGCCCACGACAGCTCTCCTCGGTCCAGAACCTCGCTTGTGCCGTACTCGAGGACGGTACCATTTGAGGACAATGCGATTGCCCGCACGAATTGCTTGTAGGTGGCGCGTCGATTTGGTAGTGCGACAGTCGTCTCGAAGCCGGACCTCTCTACACGAAGTAGATCCTCCCAGTCGTCATCTTGGACGTCGATCTCGTCCGTTCCTTGGATTAGCCACTCGGTGACCTCTGTTGCGCCATTCCAGCTCATGTAGAGCAATTCATTGTCGTCGTCTATGTCGATCCTTGGACTGGCCTTCGGCTTGCTCGACCATTCGAACTTGAAGGCTCGATAGCTTTGGATCTCACCAGTATTCCAGGAAGTCTCTGCACCATAGTGGACATCGCAAAGCACTGATCCGTTGCTGTCGAACTCGGTGAATACGGCGTTGTAGCCGTAGCCTACCAGCACTTTGGTCTGCTCGCCTGCAAGCGTCTGCATCGAGCCTTGAGAGGGTGTACGTAAACCACGAGGATTTTCGAAAAACTGGATCAGACGCACTGTGAATGCTGGGTCTGTACCATTCAGCACTGTCGTCGAATCATCTGCTGCGAGATCGGGCGCACTTGCAGCATTCGCAGTTGGATATGTCACCTCCATGAGCAACCCACGCGAGATGCTGTCGTCCTCGGAGTTGTCGAACAACGTCAATAGTCGCCGCGATACACCACTTTGTTCCTGCGGTGCTGTGTATGTACCAGGAAAGGCATCTAGCGCATGGAAACGTGCGTCATGCTGATTCGCAAATGAGAGGCTCAGGCCGTCACCACTCAGATCCATGAAGTTGTTGCGCCGACCTCCAAGCGTCCACAGGATATCTCCAGTACGGCCATCGATGTAGGTCACGCTATGCGTGAAGCGAGCAGAGAAGAGGTAGTTGCCCAGCTCATCCTTGGCAATACTGTTGAGGTGAAACCAATCCCATGGAACCTCATTCGTACCCTCATTGTCGACATGACGGTAGGTATCTGTGAGGTTGACGTGATCCGAGGCTCGCCATTCGAATAAGAGCTCGCCGGAGAGGATGTCGACCTCTTGTAGCAAGCAGTCCCAGATGTAGTTTGGTTGCTCGTCGTCCTGGCTGAAGTCTCGATACGCACTCAGGTCGAAATAGTGCTTATCATACACTGTCAACAGAGCTGTGCCCTCAGGAGTGATCAGGAACTCATGCAGATCAGCTTCAAGACCGCCCGCAGCGTTCACTTGATGAATGATCTCGTAGGAGTTGTCGAGCTGTGAAGCGTCAGCATAGGTGAGCAATGAAGAATGATCAAGCTGACCATATAGTAGGCGCCTGCGCCGTGTCCTCTAACCCCATCATTACCCAGCCAGAAGGTCAGGTAGTCCTGCCCTCGGTAGTGCTGGACCTTAAGATCGTATGCCTGGCCACCGAAGTCGTTGTCGAAGTGGTGGCTCCAAATCATCTCGCCTTTCCCATCGAGTATCATTGGGCCCGGATTGGATATATGCTCACCACGAGGTGCAAGGAAATACAACCGGCCATCTTCACATGCTGGATCCCATTTGAGCCAGTTGAGTATTGGCGATGTCAAAGCTGGCTCGGTGACATAATTCTGTACTGGATATGCGCCGTACACGCCACGGTCAGTCGCCAAGCTGTATGGATGAAGACTGGCTGCCAGACATGTTGTGGCGAGCCAGAAATCTAGTACAAGTCCTCTCATGATTTCGTTGTTGTCATCGATTGATGAGGTCAACACCAGGCAGACCGCAACATAACAGTGTAAGATATCACTACAGGCGACGATTGACCTTAAAGAGCTCGAATGATGTAGGGATCTGATAAGGTATCGAGAACGACGCAGTGTGGCTTTGCAAGTTCGCAGGTTAATGATGACACACGAGAGAAGAGGATGCGTTGACGGAGTACGCAACGGACGACTCATGCGAGAGACATGGAATGCCCGGCAGCACCGTGCTTGCTACATCCTGGACAACAACGGTGGTTGATGCGCTCACTTCGACCAGCTGCGTTAGGGCTCTCATACCAAGGGAACGCGAGCCTGCCACGCGGCTTCTCCAAGGTCAACAAAGCCTGTTCCTTTGAGCAATCGGCCCCACGGTGTGTACTTTCGTCCGTTGTGCCTGTCGACGTACCACTATGCTCACTGCCGAGTCATCAGAAGGTATACCAGTAACGTGCTACAAAGACGACGCAGGCCGCCTTCCGGATCGTGGCTGCACGACAAAGCGTCACACAGCTTCACTGCCACAACTTTGAACCTTCTATGTTGTACAGTACACGATTATCACAACCACATCGAGAGATTGTCGTCCATACTTGCGTCGACTTGGCACTTGGCGCAGAGAATCGCTCAACCCAGCCATCGAGCTGATCGCGTGCGCA